CCCTCGGGCCCGAGTGCGCCTGCCCACCAGCCCGGGGGCGGGGCTCGCTCCCCTTCCCCTCCCTCCACCCTCCATCCCTCCTTTCCCCTCTCTCCTCCCTCCGCCCCCTCCCTTTCTCCCCGCCCCTCCCTCTTCTCGCCCGCCCCTCCACTCCCCGCCCCGCCCTTCCAGGCTGGGCCCGCGGCCCCGGAAGGAGGCAGGCGCGGCGGCGGCGGCGGCGGCGGCGGCGGCGGGACGCAACACAACAAGACGAGACGTGGGCCCCGCCGTGGGCCGTGGGCCGTGGCCGGCGGCCGGCGCTGGAGGCGGGGCCGCGGCGGCGGCGGGCCGGAGCGCAGGGTGCCGGGGCCGGGGTGGGACCAGCGCTCGCTGCCGCGGCGAGGATCCCGAGCGGCCGTGGCCGTGACCGTGGCCGTGACCGAGACCGGGGGAGCGGTGAGCGGGACGGGGGTAAGGGCGGGGGCGCCGGCGGGCACCTGCGCGCGGAGGGGGGAGATGACAGTGGCCGCCAGGGCCGCAGACCGGCCTTTCCTCGCTGCTGCCCTGCGCGAGCGCTTAGCAAGTGCCTGCTGTGTGCCCTGGGGCAGGCGTCTGGCGGGGCCTCTCTCCCCTTGGCATGCATGGCCCGAGGGGCGGGGGAGTGCAGCCAGAGGGGGGGCGCTCCGGCCTTCCCCGAGGTGCTCGTACCCGTGCTTGTAGCCCCAAGGTAGGGAGGCGTTCTTCGCCCCCGAGTCCCGTTTTGAAAGGCAGGTGTATAGGGGTGCAGATGAAATGGAAAGCCAATGACAAGGAAGAGGTGATGCCCTCCTCCCCCCACATCTGCCCATGGACCCCCGGTTACGACCCCCTGCTCTAGGGTCATCTGTTCGGCGAAACCCAGCCCGGGGTCCCCCAGCTGCCGGCGCCTCCCCCAGCCCTCCTGGCCCTTGCCTTGCCGGGGAGGGGGGGGGTGCAGCGCGCACTGTGCCGGGTGCTAACTCATTTCCCTGGCCTCCAAGCGCTTACGCTGCACCCGCTGGAGCACGAGGTGGGGAGGGTGGCCCCCACTGGGAGCCCTGGGGTGAGTATCGAGGACATGAATAGCGCTGCCACTGCGGAGGAACGTCGGGCCGCGCTCCAAAGGGAATTTGTTTTCTTCCAGGAGGGCGATGGGGCCATTGCGGTTTACCCAGCAGGGAAGGGAGTGAGGGTCAGATCTCTGCTGAAGCATCCCTGTGACAGCTGGGGAGAAGCATGTGCTCCAGGAAGGAGGAGGTGAAAGGTGCCTCAGTTGTTGGGGCCGGCCATGGAGGTGGGCTGCCCCTGGGGACTGGATGGGCCGATGATGCAGGTGACGAGTAGAGAGAAGTCAGAGGGGCCAGGTGCGAGCCTTAGGTCAGCTGAGAAGGGTCTGCACACAGGTGGGAGGGAGGGGAGAGGGGCAGATTTCCATCAGGAGTGTCCCCCTGGCCTCCAGGCCTTGGTGGTGGGGGGGGGGGGGCCTACTGGGCCCACGCAGGTGCTCACCAGCTGGGCTGGGGCCAGGCACAGCTGTTCTGAGGCTCCTGATAAAGCATTTAGGATGGCTGTGCTGTGCCGACAGGCCACAGATAGAACAGTAAGCTCGAGCCTGCCCTCCAGGAGCTACTAGTCTAGTGGGGAAAGTCTCCTGTCCATCGGGGGCTTCCGCCAAGCCGAAGGTCAGGCCTTTTCTTTCACAAGGAAAATGAGAGTGCCTGCCTCTGGGCATTGTTAGCTGCTTGGGGCCCTGAATGCCAGGCAGAAATGTGAACCTGGCTCTTAGGTGTCTGTGTGAAAAGCAGGCTTGCCACACTTGGAGGATGGCATGAGGGTGCTAAGGAGAGCCTGCACGCTCCTGGTCTCAGTGGGCTCAGAGAGGAGGGTAGAAGATCAGTAACATCCAGGACAGCCTGGGCCAGGGAGAGGCAGAGCTGGGAGTTCAAGGGAGATTTCTGAGGGGTGGGCTGAGGAGCCAGAGCAGGAGTGGGGGGTACGGCCCCCTGGAAGGAAGGGGCTGTCAGCTCCGGCCAGTACTGCCGAGGGGCGAGGGGGAGAGAGGCCCTTGGCTTCAGCAGTTTGTCGATCCTAGCTGACCTTTCAGAGCTTGGTTGGGGAGGGAGGTCTATGCGTTAATCATAGACAGCTTTTCCTGGAAGGGGAGGAAGGAGCTGGAGGGTTAACAAGTCATTCTGCTTTCTTTGCTTGATTTCTCCAGCACAGTAGGTACCCTCACCAGAGTCAGGACGTGCTATGAACTTAAGTCTGTCCGATAATAATAATAATAATATGTGACTGAGTTAGTCATTGGGAAGGGACAAGCTGTGTCACAGGTTCCCATCACCTGATAGCCTGAGGTCATTTGTGAGTTGGGTATCAGTACACCTCCCTCTCCCCCAAGATGGCCCCAGTGCAAGAGAGTGGGAGCCAGTTGACTGTGATGGCTGTAGACAGTGAGTGCTTAATGAGTGCGGCTCCTTGGAGCCTCATGGGATGGTTTCTGCTCATTTTATCAATCTCATATCAGTGGAAGCTGCCTGGGTACCATAGCTGAACTAGAGACCTTGGTCAATACTGCAACACGGCCAGTCTGGCAGAAGCGATGACTCGGGCCTCCCCTGGCTTTAAGTTGGTTCTGTTGAAAACTACTGTGGCCAATGTGGCCGGTCTTGGGTCCAGAAACCTGGCACTGCATGCAAGTCAGCTTCCCTGGACAGCCTCTGGCTATCCCAATTTACAGAAAGGGATTGCTCCATTCCTTACATTCTTTAAAGGGCTTGGAGGTATTCAGAGTGGAGTCCCTCTGGTCAAGAGTCCTCAGGGGAGTCATCCTATTTAGAACTGGTTTTGGGCAGAGAAGCAGCCTGTGGAGAGGAGAAAAAGCCCAAGAGAAAGGGTTGATTGCTGGGCTAGGGTCCCAGAGACACTGGGACAAAAGCAAACATTGCCTATCCCCCCTCAGAAGGAGCTGACATTCATTTGGATGGGGAGACATGGGGTCCAGCTAAGATAGATACCAAGTAGATGAAAGGGGCAGGGAGGCCCTGGCAGTCGGGTCCCGGGGGACCAGGAAAGAAGGTGGGGCTGAGGGGGAGAAGGGTAACATATCCAGGGGAAAGAGGGGATTTCAGGTGAGTGCTGCACCATCTACCTTCACTGGGTGAGGAAGCAGGCTCTGCCAGGTGACATTTGAATGTAGGTCTCTTCTGGGTGAAACCCAGGCTCTTTCCTTCCCTGCCCCAGGCAGGCCAGGAGAAGGGATGGCAGAATCGAGAGAAGTCTCCTCCAGTGGTTTCAGGCCCCAGGAGGACAGGAGGCCTAGTCCTGTGCTCTGCAGGTGGAGTTTGGGGTTGTCACTGGAGGAATGATAGAAGTAGATAAGTTTGTGTCAGGACAATTGCCTGAATGTCTTGGAAGTGATGATCAAATCTAGGGAGCCTGGTGAGGAAGATCGAGTTAGTTGACTTCAATTGAAAAAGCATTAAGCACCGGCCCTCTCAGTCCTCGTCCTCCTGCTCCCCCCCTCCCCACCTTGGCGATAGATACAAAGACAAAAATCAACCATCCTTGCCTTCAGGGAACTTAGGTCCTGGTTGGGAGAAAAAGCAGTGATCTAGAAAATCAAACATAAACTATATAAAGAATAATTTCCAGGGAGCAGGGCACAGGTCGCATATGAAGAACAATTTTGTGGTTGGTTTTTTAAAATTATTTTTATTTATTTCATCAAATATTTCGCAAATTAGATGTAAAAAAATTTTTAACAATCATTTAAAAAAAATTTGAGTCCCAAATTCTCTTTCCCACCCCTCCTTCCTCCCTGAGAAGACAAGCAATTTTATTTTGATTATATACTGAGCTCATGCAAGACATTTCCATAGTAGCCATGTTGCAATAGAAGCGCCACACACACAAGAAAATAAAGTTAAAAAAAAAAAGTCCGCTTCAGGCTGCACTCAGCACCGGGCAGTTCTCTCCTGGAGGAGGAGAAGAGCATCTTTCATCTCGGTCTGTTGGAACTGTCCGGGGTCACTGTCAATCCCAATTGACGATCGTTGCAATGTTGCTGTTCCTGCACGCAATCTCCTGGTTCTGCTCCCTTCCGTTGGCCTGTGTTCATACAAGTCTTCCCAGGCTTTTCTGAAGCCGTGAAGGACAGTTTTGTTAAATTGGACAGGTTTTCTTGAACAGTTTTTTATTTTCCAGTTTAACTTTAATGAGAGATCATTTCCACATACAAAGGATAGAAAAAGGGGGAGTGCAAAGGAAGCATGAGGAAGGGGAGGAAGTGGGGGTGGTCATGGAGGGAACCTCTGTCCTGCTAGCCTGGAGCATGGGGTCTTTGCGACGGCCATGGTCAGATGGGTCGAATCATCCATTTCCAGAAGGTCCGGAAGTGGAGGTTGGGGAAGCAGCTGGAAAGGCAGATGGCTGGGGAGGATCCTGGGGCCTGGCTGGCGGTAACCAGGTGAAGCGAGTTACAGGTTCTGTCCTCTGGTCCCTCTGGGCTCTTACCAGTTGTGGAAAAGCAATTTAGAGAAATGTTTCCATGAACCTGAGTTCTCCATGTAATGTAAGGTATTATTAGCCACGTTGTTCTGGGTTCTGGAAGAGCTGGAGCCAAGCCTCCTGTCTGCTGTGTGCTTCCGGAAGGCCTCTGGGCGGTTCTCTCCTAATTAAATCACAGGTCTGGGGCCATAATTCTCCCCCTAACAAACAACTCAGACTCTTTAGGCAATTTTTTTAATGAGCGTGTGGCAGCTTTTTGCAACCGATGGAATTACATCTCTCTACGGAGGATTTGGCTCGGTGAAAGAATGATCAAAGTAAGAGAGGCTTGGGGCAGCAGCGAGGGGGCGCCATAGTGCTTCGAGGGGGGAAGATTCATCTTGGGGAGTTCAAATGTGGCCCCAGACACTTGCTAGCTGTGTGAGCCTGAGCAAGTCACTTCACCCTGTTTGCCTTGGTCTCCTCATCTGTAAAGTGGGGGCAATAATAGCACCTCCTTTCCAGGGTTGTTGTGAAGGTCAAATCTTTGCAAACCATAATATGCTACGCAAGTGATAGCCAGTGTTGTTATCGCTGATTTTAGAGCAAAGTCTGGACAGGCCTGCGTTTGCATCTGCACAAGTAAAACGCCACCGAAAGCAGCTTTTGTTTTGTCCCTTCCTAGTCGAAGGGCCGGCCTAGGCAAAAACTGAGACCACGTGGAACCAGGGAGTTGGAAGGCGAAACCCCAGAGGAGCTGCGTTCCCTGGACGACCACGGATCGTCCAGCCTCTCCTTGGATACCCTTTCACTGCCTTACTGGGATGAAAACAACAATAAAATACGCGTGGGGGCAGGCGTAAAATCTTACACAAGACACCTGGCATTTCGCAGAGGACAACTAAGGTTCAGTAAGGAAAAACCACTCTTTTGCTTTGTGTGGCTGTTGGCTGGCTGCTAGTGAGCCCTCCGCAGCTCTGCCCCAGCTCTTCCCCAGCTCTCTGCTCCTCCTCTAGGATGGGGATTCCAGGCAGATGCTCCCCAGACTGCCCTGTTCCGTACTGTATGAAGACATGCCAAACAGTGGCTCTTGGAAGTCCTCAGTGAGGCTATTCTCCATCTCTCTTCTCTGTATAGCCTTGTAGGACTGGGTGGGGGGCGCCATGTTGCTTTCCTCAGAGATTTTACCAATTTCCATCTCTGCCTGTGTTGCCTTTGATGGTTGTAAACTACCTTTGCCAGGTTAGCGGGTGGCAGGCTAGTGGTCAGATTTGTTTTCGTTTGCATTTCTCTAATTAGTAGAGAATTCGAAGAGTTCCTCGGTGGGATTACCTAGTAATTTAGTGAAGTTCTTGCCAGTTTGCACTCTCTTCAAGAGAAGATAAGCATCTGTTAATTTTGATCAAATTCTTCTCCCATGATTTAAGGGTTTACTCCCTTTGAGCCCACTGATTAGTAACACTTTGGGGACATACACCTGTGTCGCCTGTGCAGGACAGACTGAACCAAAGTGTAGGGGACCATTTCAAATTGGGAAGTTGTAACAAAGATTCTTTGGTAAAGTTGTCTTTTCCTCTTACTACACGTGCCCTGTGCCCAGTACAGTGCCAAGCACAGAATGGGTGCTTTATCATCAAGAGCTTGCTGGTTGGTTGGTGGCCGCACGGGCCTGTGGCTGGAAACGTCTCGTCCATGGGCAGACTCTCCATCTCTTGGCGGGATCAGGCAGACGGCCTTCTTTGGTGACTGGTGACTTTTAGGACCAATCAGGTGCGGCGTTTTCTTCATTACTATGAAAATAAGAGTTTTCCTTCCTTCCTTGGGGGGTTCTATACCTCGTGCCACTGCCCAAGTGGATCACACTGAGTTTCAGGGTTTATTTTGCTCTGGTTTTTGACGCTTCTTGCCTAAGGAGAAGCAGCAGAAGCAGAAAGGGGAGGCTCTGAGCAATGGGGCCAACCTAAGCCACTGGACCCCTTGTAGACAGACTCCGTTTTCATGTATGAGGTCTGCTTATGGGGTCACAGCTCAGTGGCAATGCCCATAATGCTCATTTCTGTGGGTGGCTTACTCTGGTTCTCACCCAGTGACCTTTTCACGTCATCTGGACTCAGGATAGTTTGCATAGTTTGGGGGGCCCAGACTTGGAGATCTCGGGCCTGTCCCTTTTCAGTAGTCTGGGGGTGGTAGGGATCCCCTTGAAAGGCTGACTGGGGGAGAAGAGCCCCAGGTTTGGGGGGGGGGCTGGCCCTTTTAGGCCTGAGGGATGGGGAAAACTAGCTGATGATTAGAACCTTCTGAAAATACCCTTCCACTTTTCAGAATCCTCAGTGGTTCCCTTTTGTCAGTAGGGGAAAGTACCCATGCCTCTGCTTGGCACTGTCTGTCCTCTTTTCTAGGCTGCTTTCACATACATTTTAAAATTGCAGCCAGAGTTCTGACCTGTTCACTGTTCCCCAGGGTGTAATAATGAGAGCTACCACGGCCACATTAATAACATTATATGGTGCTTTAAGGATAGCAACGCACCTTATGTACTCATTTCCTCATTTCATCCTTACCACAATGCTGTGAGATGGGAGCTATATTATCCCCATTTTATAGACGGGAAAACTGAGGCAGACCTGGCCAGGTTGGCCAGCTAGTCAGTGTCTGAGGCAGGATTTGAATTCATATCTTCCTGACTCCAGGCCCAGCACTTGGTAGCCTCATGACCCTTCAGCTCATTCCTTTGTGCAGGCTGTCTTCCATGCCTGGTATGCTCTCCTCTTTACCTCTGCCCTTGGAATCTTCAGGCCTTCGCTTCAGTGACCCCTCTTAGGGGAGGCCTTCCCTGATTACCCCCCCATCCCCACTCTGGGTTCTCTCTGCCCACTCTGGGCCTTGGCATTTACGTATTGGTAGGCATGCTTCCTGAAGACTGTGTATGTGTCTTGTATGTCTTGATACGGGCTTGGGGTCCTTTGACCCATCTTCTTGGGGAAGGTGGAGCCTGCTGTGGTGACAGCTTGTTGGAGTGTGTTTGTCCCCATCTCTGCTCTCGGTTCAAACTTGGTACCCAAGCTGTCCTGCAGGAGGCAGCCTGAGCTCTGTCTCCTCACCCCTCTCCTTTTAGGGGCATCTTTCTCGGTCACCCTTAGGGACTGCAGGCTTTGTTTGGTCACCTAAGGTGAGGCTGGTGGGATCCCTCCACCGTCCCCAGTCGGCATATATTTATTAAGCCCTCACTCTGTGCCAAGGACCCTGCCAGGCCTTGGAGGCACAGAGAAAAAAGGGAAACGGCTCCTGCCCTCAGGAAACCGACAGGAAGAATAGAGAAGTCCTGTGATTTCCTGGGTGCCAGGAGCTCCCATGGTGGGGCCCTGTGACAGAGTGTCAAAGAAAATGACCTGAAACCTTTCATAAACACACAGACGCACCTGCACGCCATCCACTTTTCACCTGGATGCTCTGCTCGCAATCCAGGATGCTCATTACTGGGAAAACCTGTTTGTAAAATGCCTCCTGGCTGCCCCCTCCTCACCCTGCTGTGCTGCCCTGACTGGGGGGATGGAGCTTAGCTCCCACATCTCCTCATCTGGGCCCCCTAAGCCCCTGCCTTCCTCCCCCTTTTGTGTGTTGTTTTCCCCCATCTGATTGTAAGCTCTTTGAGGGCAGAGACTGGCTCTTCTTTTTATTGGTTCCCCAGCACTTAGCAGGTGCTTAGGTTTCCTCTTGACCTCTGTATCAAGGAAGTGAATGCTATAAATTTGGCCTGTGCTGGGCTTCTTCGTTTGTGATTGGTTCCATCCCCAGTGAGGGGAGGGAAGCCGTGAATTTTCACCCTTTGCTCTAACTCTGTAACAAGTATTGGAGACCCCATCATCGTGGGCTCCGAGGTGCCCAGAATTCTCTCGGGCTCTGTTGGACAAGGGCGGATTTGAAGCAGGGTTAGCCTCGCTCAAGGCGAGCCCGAATGTGAAGAAGACAGGTTTTGTCTTCCGAAGGCTCGCAGTCAGTGCCACTCCGGGATTCGGTTGTCGAGATGTGCAGAGAGGCACCTGAGGAAGGGAGGCTAGCCTTGTCTTGAAGGAGCTGTGCAGGAGTCTCGTCAGTATGGCTCACACTGGCGATTTGATCATTTCCAAGCCTTGTGCTTGAAGTCCAGCACATTGGGCCGAAATCAATCATCCTTTCTAAGTTAGGCTTGTGTTCACGAACCTGAGTTTTCTAAACAATTGTCACCCTGATGTCCTTGTAATATTCCTGCTTCCTCGTTGTCCCGTGACCAGTAATGGGGCTTCTCTGCAGGCACTTGGGCTTCTAGGAAGGAGAGAAGTTTCTCCTTCAGAGATCTTACACTTGGTCCCTGGGATTAACTTCACAAGTACAGGAACACAGATGCTGTCGTGCTCTCTGGGGGTCAGCAGGGTGAGAAGGCACCCTTCCAGACCCAGGGACATGGTGATAGGCCAGCTGTCTGTCCTCTGCTTTGGTCAGGCCACATGAGGTCAGTTCTGGGTGCCTTACCCGGAGGAGGTCTTAGAAATCCCCATGACTCTCAGGGCCCAGTCTGAGCAAGTTCTTTTTTTGTTTTGTTTTGTTTTGGGTTTTTTTTGCCTTTTTGGTGAGGCGATTGGGGTTAAGTGACTTGCCCAGGGTCACACAACTAGTAAGTGTTAAGTGTCTTAGGCTGGATTTGAACTCAGGTCCTCCTGACTCCAAGGCCAGAGCTCTATTCACTGCGCTACCTAGCTGCCTCTGAGCAAGTTCTTGCCCTCCATGGCGCTGCCCCTTCGAAACGACCCTTTATATATTTTGTATGAAAATCGCTGATGGGCCTGCTTCTGCCTCCCCACCTCATAGGCAGTTATTTGAGGCCCGAGACCACTTGGTTTTGGTTTTTGTACCCTCAGTGTCTGGTGGCATAGAGTAGATGCTTTGTAAATGCTTCCTGAGCTCAGAAGAGAGCAGCACCTGACATGGGGCAAGAGCCTTGAGTACCAGGCACGTGACAGTCAGTGGAAGGAACTTAGATGTTGACCCTGCCCAGAGTCTGAATGACCTCCCTGTGGAAGAGTGAATGGGTTTGTTTTTGTTTGTCCTTAGAGCCCTGGGTGTTTTCAGGGGCTCCAGAGCTTGGATAGGGAAATTATGACTTTATTTTCACTACCCTAACCGAAGTTTAGTATATTCTGTAATTGTGGATTTTAAAAAGGTTTTTTTTTTTTTTGAGGTGTCAGTCAGTAACCATTTATTCAGCACCTGCTGTCTGCCAGGCATTGTGCTATGTACCAAAGATGCAAAAAGAAGCAAACCTGCCATCCACGAGCTCTCAGTCTATACCGGGAGGGGTCTGTCAGCCTGCCAAAGAGGCCCAAGAGACAGAAAAGGCTAAGACCCCCTGCCCGAGGAGGCAGGATGGGACCTGTGGTCTCAGCTGTCAAGCTTCAGGCTTTGTGTCAGGGAGACCTGCCAACCTCCAGAGCTGGTATGTGTTGGGTGGCACGCCCCCTCCCTCCGCCCCTTCCCCTGAGATAGAGTGACCACTTAGTGAGCACGTGCTGGGGGCATTCCTTTCAGGTATGGCTGGTTCCTTCCCACCTGTGATCCTATGATCCTGTGACCTCAGCCAGGCATATAACATTTATACTACAATACCTCTGAGGAGAAGGGGATTATGGAAAGAGCCTGCATGGGAACACAGCCAGAGGGAGGTCGATGGTGGTTTGTGTGTTGTAGGACCTGATAATGGACGATAACGACCTTATTTCCAGGGACTCAGGTGGCCTCCCCTGCAGAGTAGCTCTCACCCCATTTCCACCTTCTCATTAATAATAGTATTTGTATGTCTGCCCATCAACATCACATAGAAAAATCTACCTGGAGTATGGTTGACCTTTTTCTAGGCTTTTCCTGTTTCCCCACTGTCTTCTGTTAGCTCGCTCTTGCTATGGGACTGACTCACCTCGCATACAACCCATAAAAAAAAGTTTGGTTCTCCCAGTGTATAAGAAAGGCCCCTGTGGTAGTGATTGGAGGACCCTGGCTTCTTTGAGAAGCCTGAGAGGAGGTTCCTGAGAGTCACCTCTGCCTGTCTAGTGTTTGGGGGCAGACGGGATCCCATTTTGTAGCGTTTACCTTGTGGAAAAGGAAGACACTCCTTAAAATATTTTTCCGGAAACTCCCAGAGAAAGCAGGATGATTGTTCTCCAGATCCCTGGAAGGCAAATAGAGCTGTCCCAGGACACACTGGATTTGGGGGAGCTGCTTTTTTCCTCTCAACTTTTTATCCCGAGACAGTTCCCTGGGGGGCTGAAGGGCAGAGTCAGGTAAGAGAGCAATACGAGGAAGATTTTGTTAATTAATTTATTTTTTGGCTAGAAAGTGAATTGAAGTTGGCTCCCAAATTGACACACGTGTCTCTACCTGCCTTCTCATCCTGTTCTTCTCTCCCCTGGGCTCTTGGGCTGGGTTCTTCCCTTAGGCAGAGGTGAGCCTATTAATGGGGATGCACAGGGGGCTGGGACCTTAGGGCTTACAGTCCAGTCCCCAGAGAGCTGAACTGGTAAGCGGGCAGAGAGCTCCAGAGGAGTCCACTCTGCCTCCTCTTTGTCAGTCACTGCAGCAGCGCCCAGTGCCCAAAACACCCAAGGCCGTCATCTTTTGACCGACACGGGCTAAGGTAGGCAGCCAGGCTAGTTCTTGATGAGCATAGGGACAACAGATACGGTGCCGGGGCTGTGTTTCCAGGTTGGTGGAAGTTGCCAGGCCTAGCCTTCTGAAGAGCC